TGAGCGACGCTGCTTATTTTTCAGCGTTTTTCGAACTACCATTTGAAGCGCACACGAGACATTTAAGAAGTATCGATCAAAAAAGAAAAAATGTAAAGGGACGAGAGCGAGAGAAAAGAGCGAGAGAAGGAAAAAGAAGAGAGAGGAATTAAAGGGCAAATTTTATTTTATTTTAGGTGAGATCTTTTTAGAAACACGGTATTAAAAAGAGATACTGGTCTCTATGCTATAAAATATATATGTAATACATATATAATTCGTTCTTTTTAGAAATCGCACAAGTCCAATTGTGATCGTCTTTGCTAATATTAATCGTATCTTGTTATTATTTATAACGTTTTCAAAATGTACTAATCGCTTTTTCGAAACAAATGACTAATATATAAAAAAGCGCATGTTTACAATAATAGTGCTTTACATAAAGTAAGTTAAAAATCTATAAAGGAGCAGCAAGAAAAAAATTGCATAAACTTGCCTAAACACAAGCCTACGTGATACTCGATATTTAATCGCTTTCAATCTTCTATATCTTTGAAATAAAAAAAAAAGTAAAAGAAAACTGATTTTACTCTATCATGCTCCATTCCAAACTATGTCATTATAAAAATTGATATTATTGTGAGCATGTAATTACGATATTAAAAAATATCGATTTTTAATATTTTTATGAAAAAGCTCATTTAACTACATTACGACATTGCAATCAGGATTTGCGAGAATTTTAATTTGTATAAGTATAATAAACTACATTCACAGAGAAGTATCGGAAAACCGCATTTCAGCATTATATAGATTTTACCATTTCAGTTAATTCTCAATAAAATATATATATATTTTAATATATACAGTTCCGCAAGAATTTTATTTCTCCGATAACTTTTCAATAAAAATATATGCTTTTACTTTCTTGTCACTTCATTTAATATAATATTTTTTCGAAATTGATAACAAGTCAGCGCGTTACAAATATATAAATAAAATATTTGGATAACAAAAATTGAGAAATATTAAATGTGCCCAAGTGAAAAAAAAGATCAACTTTATATTTGTTGAAGAAATTATAGTCGAAAGAAAATAAACAATCATTTAATGCATCTTATATTTAAAATGTTCTTCTTGGTATAATAAAACCGATATCTTCTCAAAAGAGTTAAAACGCATTCTTCTTTAAAGAGGAAAGGAAGTAGGAGGATGGGGGAAAGGACAGACTCGTCTGCCACGTGCTCTCGTACGATACGTCTCTAAAGCCGTCGAGAGTTCTGAAGGTATCCAGGAATGCGGGCCATACAGAGCTCTAAAGAGCTTCCACAATTTCGCGTGCATCTATCCTTAAAGGTTCCTTCCTTCTCACGATTTCCTTCTTAGACCTCATCACCCGCATCCGTACTCTTCGTATTATTTCAGAAATCATCTTTATATATCATGTGTACATACATACATCTCTGCAGTTATATCATAAGATAGAATCTTATTAAATAATTAAGACTTATGTTCAAAAGTGTATTTATTGATACAAGAAATTCGAAATGTATATTTTTTAATCTTCATATAAAATATTTTCCCTGCAATTTAATCCTTCTGTAATTAAAAACTATATTTTCATGTATGAATTGTTTGATGAATTATTATAAATTTTTTTTTCAATAATCTTATTAGAGCCTTTTCATTTTTGATAATTTGTTAACTTAAATAAAATATTTTGACAAAAACAAAATCAATTTATTTTATCGCATCTCAAAATTACAAGCTTATTATATAAAAAAAAAAGACGTTTAAAATATATCGAAGAATAAAACATCGTTATTTATATGCATTTTTAAAACGTAAATTTTTAATTCTCTCTTTTAACTCATAACTGTATTGTAATAACATTAAATTCTCTTCTAAATTCGTGCTGTAGTCTGCATAGAGTTCCGTAGAGCAAAGAAAATCTGCGCTCTACTGATCTGTGAGAAGGATGGAGAATAGCTCTGGACCCCGTATTACGCCAGCATTATGGACGAAACATGCACGAGTACAGCCGATTTAGCTACTTCCGCTACGTCTGTCGAGATCAAACGGTACGCAAACGAGGACGCGCACGTTCGACCTGCGCATTTTTTTAATCAGCACCCGGCCCGATTAAGCGGAATCTGCTGGCTATTCTGATCGTCGATCAGCATTGTGCCGGGTAGCGGGTGCTTACGCGGCACGTTGCAAAATCATTGTCCATGTCAGGCGGAGAGAAATGTCTGGCATATCGACCCGCAAAATTGCTCTCGTGTGAGCTAGCCTGCGCTGATTTTCGATAATGTTATATAATCGGAATGACGTCCGGCTCGCGTTCGTGGAACCATTTCTCCTCGCTCATTTCGTCGGAATGCTTTAATCTTTCAATCCGTACATATTTAATAAACTATGTCATTTTCAGATATCCGTATTTCTTCTCTATGCACAAATATATTTATATATAATTTATAAAAAATTTAATATAATTTAATTAAAATTATATAGTCTTCTCTTTAATCTGCGATTAACGAGACGTATCATTACTATTCGCTTATAGATATCACAACAAATTACAATTCCGATTAGATTTCAAGTAATATTTCTATTCTATTCTCTGGGAAACTTTATACACATAAAATGAGAAGCACAAAGCAAGAGAAACTATATTCTCGTGGCAACTACACTTACCGGTAGAATATACCGCGTGTTTCACTCTTGTCCCACTTTATTTATATTCGCGTGTTAGCGCAAGTTAAGAGTCCCCCGGTTCGTTAACGAGGGCGGGGGCGAAGGCCGCGCTAATTAATGCGGCGAAACTTGTCAGCGAATCAAAGCAACGGGCGCTTCCGCGCGTTTGCATTCCTTGTACGTTCTCACTTCTCCCTTTTTCCTCAAGGAAAGAGAGGGAGAGAGAGAGAGAGAGAGAGAAAGAAAGAGAGAGAGCGAGAGAGAGGAAGGAAGGAAGGCAGATAGAGTGCTAGAGGGTGAGGACATCTCATCCCTTAAGAGGGAGCCTTAATAGGATGCGCCGGCGGTTGCCCTATACGCGCGATATTCTCTTCCCGCTATCGGGAAGGTGTTAGCTTCCGGATCCGTGCATTCGCAATTTGCATTAGCCGGAGCGAATTACGCGAAATTTATGCGAGCCGGGGATACGGACGGAGTTGCCCCTCGCTTAAGCGTATTCGGGGCCACTTAGGCGGCTACCCTGGCGCTGGAGTCGTTCTACTTATGGCACAGTGGACAGCTAATGTCCGCAACTATTTCTCTCGCCGTACAGCCCGCTCGCCGTCTTACGATATTATTCTACGAGTATTGTCTTGCTTTGCCGAGAGAGAGAGAGAGAGAGAGAGAGAGAGACAGAGACATAATAAGAGGCGCGTTTGCCAAACGACTACGTCGACCTACGATTAATCGCCGCACCGTCGGCATTGTTCTGTGCTCGCTGCTGCTGCGCGCAAGGTATCCCTTAGCAAAAGATGAGAATCGATAGAGAGATATATCTTTGATGAATAAATATTTTCAGGAAAAAATTTTTTATATCTAGATAGAAAGTCAATCAGTAGCGTAGTTTTAGAAATTGCTTAATATTAGAAGATTTTTACGGCGCTGTAATTATCACTTTTAAATATGAGACATAAAAGATTTACAACAGAGTTGAAATTAGTCATTATTTTACTGTTTCGATTTATATCTCTTGACTTACAATAGATTTAATCGAATTTAATAATAAATGCGCGCCGCGTTCTGAATATATAACTGCAATTTATTAGAGTAGAAAAAGTTTTTATTGCATATCGCGTGAGATTTTTCAATATTGATAAACTTAAAAATGTAAATATCTTTATTATCATATTTGATTTGTCTCTTGTTACGATTAAATAGTTTCAAAAATTAAATTATCGAAACTACCGTCACACAAATTAGTCAGAAGAATTTTCAATTAATCCGCGTAATAAATTTCATTGCAACAAAAATATAATTTTAATCTTAAATATAAATTAAATCGATAAAAAATAATATGACAAAAAATTATGATTTACTTGGATTTTATTTTAAATCCTTCGTGTCTCTCACATAAGTGATATTGCAGTAAAATAAAAATTTATCGATATTAAAAATATTTAAATTAATAAATTATGACAAACAATATAATATTAAACAGATTTATTATTTAAGAAAATATTATATTAATTTCTATTATTTACTCCCTTTTCGGACCACTCGGTGAAGACAACATTTCGTTAATAACCAAACTAACTATTTATACAATTATAAAATACAGATGATGAATGTGATATGCTCAGGCTGTAGCGAACGAGACGAAACAACGTTTGACGCTAAATTAATGAAGTTTCAAACGCGAATAAAATTTTGATGCCGGAATCGATGTTGGGGATACATCCCGGACCGAAATATACCTATAAACTGCAGTTACCAATCGGTTTGATCGACTCGTGGCATGCTCTTTCAATTACCTCGGGACGGCAGCTCCGACCGGACGTGAAAATTAATTGCTCGCGTGACGCACATTCGATCAAGGCACGCACAATTCGTATATTTTTTTTAACCATACTTTTTCACAGAACGAGACGATTCTTGCATCTTTCGCGATAAGTATTACTCGCGTGACGCACATTCGATCAAGGCACGCACAATTCGTATATTTTTTTTAACCATACTTTTTCACAGAACGAGACGACGATTCTTGCACCTTTCGCGATAAGTATTGCGCTTGTAATCGTCGAGAATCTCGCGACGAAGAAAAATTGCTTCTTCTAGTATCAAGGCGAGCTATATAACCGATATTCTCGACACGTTTCACATATATAGGATAATTTTATATGTTTCAAAAATCATTAAATACTATAAAATTACTATAGAAAAGTCGATTGCTAGATAATTTTAAATACAGTTTAAATTCGCATTTAATAGTAAAAAAATCAGAAACCTTAACTTAAGGTTTGATTACACTATTAAAATTAATCTAGTAAAATGTAACGATTACTTACTTTCTTGCCGTCCAGCTCGTGATTGCCTTGCGCCAGCACTTTGTCTACGCTGGCAGGATCTGCGAATGTGATGAACCCAAAACCTCTGTAAACAAACGAAAAGGAAATGTTTAAATGTGTAGCTTATATAGTATAAATGTGTGCTTGTCGCTCGATATTAATGAAGCAAGCAGTTGCTGATAGTAATGGTATTTCCATCATGAATGCGTACAAAGGTAGTAACTGCATGCTGCAATTGAATAAATTGCGAGATATATATCTCGATGTAGCACATACATCAAAGCGCACGATTGTATAAAAAAATAAATCAAAAGCGTAATACATTTCCGTATTAATTAATTCTCGTAAATTGCGAGATACGATAGTATTAATTCTCTGAATAAGGTAATTTCCGCTTCTTTTATATCCGCGATTAAAAGTAATCATCAACGTAATTCATCAATGTCGGTTTTTTAATCCGTAAAATTGAAAATTATCCAAAACGATTACTTTGACAGAAAACTTTGAAATATTTCATGAGATACATCAATTTTATTTATTATAAATTTATCTATCATGAAAAAATTGATACTGAATTAATCTTTCGCTTTATTGTTGACAGTGAAATAAACATTTAATATATTAAAACTTATTTTATATATAGTTATCAATAAATAAAAATTTTTAAGTTTAACAAAAATATATTTTATAATAATGTTTCTTATAGAAATAAAAATACTAGACACAAGAGTAGCTAATAATTTTTCAGAGACCTATATATGCAAATTCGAAAGAGCCGACGGCGACATTGGAAACTGGAGGATTAAAGCGAAACGAATATCGGGCCCGGCACGGCCCGTTATAACATAAATTTCACGCGGGACACGGTGTACACACGGATATATTAAAAGACAGTTCGACGCCGTGAGCTAAGGGGGTGGCTGCTGTCGGCTGATCCACGAACAGGGGATGAGTGATACGACGATACGAGGGAATGCAACGCGTCGAGGGCCGGACGCAAAGCGGTTTGCATTTTTCATGCCGGGGCCGCCCCGGCAGTTATTGAAAATATTTACATGTTATTTATGGGGCACACATGCTTCAAGAACCAAACGCGCCACCGTGCTTCGCCTGCCCATACTCTCTTCCACCTTTCGCGCAAACCCCTTTTCCGCCTCTTTTCCTCTTCGACTGCCTCCCTTTTTCTGTTTTGCGGAATGGCATGTTACACCGTTGCTCCTTTTCTCTCTCTTTCTTTCTCACTCATCTCCTTCATCCGCTCACGAATCTCCTCCGAAACCTGCCGGCAACGTCTCGAGAATTCTACAAAACGTTTCACGCCTCTCTCACTGCTTCCGCTTCCTTCTCACAGACGAAACAACGAATACTCGTATGGATTGAATTTTTGATGGAGCCGACCCCTCCGGGCCCTCGACCCATACCCTTCAATCCACCCATCACCTCTTTCCTTCGCGTCTACGGTGCTTGGCAATACTCGTGCATCTAGTGCGAACTGCGTGAAAGCGTCGCGATGACTTCCTCTTTCTATATCGATTTCTTCAAAAAGCACGCGATACGATTTCGAACAAAGTTGAAAAGGGTGCATCTAAGAAGAATGGAGAAGCAGCGATGTACGCGTTACATACGTACACGAAATTGAAAAGTAGAAATCTCAGCGATTGTTACTCCGCATCGGTGAAGTTAAAAAAAAAAAAACGTTCGGTACAAAGCTATGTATTACATGTTTTGTGTTTCTAGCGTGGCACTGTGTAAAGCTAATTTCACAGTAGAGAATCGCAGTAGCAAATATTGCAGTGATGCTATACAGCTAACATACAAAGAGCGTGTACACGATTTTTGTTTTAACAACAAATTTATTAAATGCTACATTTTTAATATCTTCTTAATTTTCAGCTTTAATTTTATATATATATATATAAATGTAAATTTTCTAATAAAATCATTACAAATTTACAACGTATACACGATGTCTCTGTTGTAAACCAGAATTTGCAAGCAATCTTTAAGAATCACTTTGGCAATTTAAGGTCAATTTTTCCTTGATGTTAAACGTCGAGCGAGATTGTAATTCCAACTTTCAAATTTCTAATATTAAATATATTTTTTTAACAATTGGTTAAAATTGTTTAAACGATTGAATATAAGTGACAAAGCACTGTATACGATTCAGAACGTCCATGAAACTACCCGGCGTTACTGAGCTCGCGATTCGCTCATGCGGCTACGACAATATACCGAATTTTGGGAGATTTTCGCGGAACGCACAATCGCGGCAAACGAACAGCCGCTGAATCGGCAGTCGTCCAATCAGCATTAAAACGCCAAACAACACGAGCGAGAACACCGCGGGCGGCTCGCATTTGCATACAACGAAACGACGAGGCTGTCCGGACGTTCTCTCACTCCCACTCTCTTTTTGTCTCTCCCACGCTCTCTTTTACGACATCGCGTTTATGACGGTGTACGCCCAATGTACACCAAAATCATGAACACCGGCCTCGGAAAATCACGCGAATAATTCATCCGTTTTCCACCCAACATCGCACCGGAATTTAATTAGAACTCGCGGGTCGCCAATTATCATTGGGATAGTATAGATTGATCAATTGAACGATGAAAACATAATCTATTGTGCAGCAAAAACAACAAGTTCACGCTTTTTCATCACTCATCATCAAAATTCTTCATCATGAACAATATTTTTGTTTTTATCTATTTTTTATACGAAATGAAAAAATATAAATATAAAGAAACAGGCATATTTATCGTAGCATCTTATACATTTATTTTCAAATATATTTTATTATTAGATAAACTAAAAAGTATTGATTTTACGTCAAGAGATTTAAATTATCACATTTTTCCAAGAAACTCATCAAATCGGAATACTGTTGATCTAATTACGAAGAAAAAAATTAATTGATAGATTTTTCTCTTAATATAACGCTGCAATATAATCTTCATTTCCAAACTCTAAGAGAGATTCGTTCTTTATTTCTGACAATTATTTGCACGAATGACGAAAGGAATCGTATCACGGCGAATCACGAATCTTATGACGATATATCAGAAAAGTCGAGAACCACTCCAGAGTCATCTCTAGGATAAAGGAAGGGATCCATCTGGCGGACCCATCGCACCATCGAAACCCCGTGCACCGCGCCACTTGTCACCCCCGGCCATTGTACGTGAATAATCTATAAAAGGCTGAGTAGAGAAGGATGGCGGCTGACGTGTCCCTTGTCTACTTGAGCACGGCTTCCACGATCCTCTACTTTTCATCCTGCTCCTCATCCTCCTCCTACTCGCCCTCCGCCGCTCGACCACCGTCTCTTCTCTCTTCTCGTCCTTACTCTACCCCTTCTCTCTCTCTCTCTCTCTCTCTCTCTCCTCACCGACGCTCTCGTCGCCCTTTTCGCCTACCTCCCCATCCCGCCGTTCCAGCTACGGAAGGGTGTCACGCAGGGCTGACGCGGTGCATTTGTTTGTCACGGCCTCTCTTGCTCCACCGCAGGAGGGGAGAGAAGGGGGTCTTTCCGGCATACGCGAGAGCATCCCGGACACGTGCGAGAAAAAAATCCCGGCCTAAATCAGTTGAAAATAACGCAGCGCATCGTGAAGTTCTTTACTTGTAATTTGAGAAGTTTCGATGAAGTAAAAGTCCAAGCGTAAGTGACAGAGATATTTGCGGTAGTTCATCGATTTTTGAAAGCTCCTCTTCTCGGGAATTGAAGGCTCCGGTATAATAAAGGCGTAACTCCAAGATATAATTTCAAAGACTAAGTCTACAGTTTGTGAAGATATTTATCTTCCGTATTCACAAATGTAATATGAGTCAAATTACAAATGTAAAATGTATATTATGAGTATTTTAGATGTAAAATAAATTATTAAAAAGTGAAGTTTCCCGTAAGCAATTTAAAGTCTTTTCCAATATTTTACGCGATTAGGACATTTTTTAAACAATTGTTTTTTCTTAAAAATTCTAATAAAATAACCAATTATTTGCCTTAAAACTCAAAATGGATTCATAATAAACTTTTTTTAAAGGAATATGTATAATAAACTATTTTCTCTACTAAAATATATGTACATAAAATAAATAAATACACTGAAAAAATAAAGTTGTTAACTTGATTAAATGCGCTTCATTGCTTATAATTCCTTTAGTTGAAACATTTAAATATTTAAATTAAATCCAACGTATTTGACTTAAATATTTAAATATTTCAACTAAGAAATTATAACAAACTAAACATATTTTTTAAATCAAATTAACAACTCTTTTTCCAAAGTAATTATAAAATTATGGTATATTCAAAACAGTAATCGCAGTTGCGCGAGCAATATAGTAACTTGTCATAAAACTTAAAGAAAATATAAACTTATCAAGAAATTTATCACGTTAATAATTTATTTAACAAACTAAATATCTCTTTTATATAGAGAGAGGTCGCAGCATTAATTTTAATAATATCCCAGCGTGCCTGTTTATACACACACCGCCGCTATTGTAATACAACCGAGTACGATTCTACCATGCACGCGAATAAGATGTGTCAGGTACAAGAGGGGAAAATAATAAAACGCAAGGTAAATCAGCTCAACACAGCTCACGCGCATACCTTTACCCTCGTATCGCGTCGAAAGGCTACACTCGCAGTTGGAGAATTTACCGCAAGGTAAAGGATAAGGGTACGACCTGCCGGGGAGGAGAATGCCAGTGTATTAGGTGTATTTATGTAGGCAGTCTCATTGCGCGCAAACTTACTGTAAGTACCGGCAGTTACTTAACCCGACAGTTTCTGCTATTGCAGTCGGCTGCGATATACCCGGCTCGGGCCGGTAGCTTTGTAGCTGAAGCCAGTTACGGACCCGGTTTCGGGGGATAAGAGCGAGAGCGCTACCCCACGCGCATTCCACCACCATCGCCAAGATGAGAGTCTAGAAAACGGCTCCTTTTCCTCCGCCGGTGCGTTTCTTCCTTCTCCCCCCGTTCCCGCTCGCGGCCCCTTCTCGCCACCTCGAAACTTTCATCCACCTCGCTGCTTTGTCGTACCGACTGTATGGTAACTGCTCTTTAAC